TCGGCCACTACGTATCGCCATTTTGTCCGCGAGCGCATTGTTGGCGTATTAGTGCCGATAATCTCGCGGCACGACGAACGTCGGAGTGTGGATCGTGCCAGAAGCTGTCGAAAGGTAAATTCATCAAACGCGAGACGTGCGTGCGTGACATCAGTGAGGCTTTAATCTCGCGTTTCTCTTCGTTACATACATACGTACATATTATATACATACATATTTGCACTCGAGCGAGCAAAACGACGGGACGGGGAGGCGGCGCGCATTTCGGAAAGAATCGATCGCGTCTCACCGTCTCTTCCGCGCTTTACCGACCCCCGTTGGAATTCGGAACGGTGAAGCGCGTATGTGTACATACATACGTTCCCGGGGGTGACGTCACCGCGTCGGCACCACCGTCGGGATGGCCTGCGCGTCCCCCGCGCGTCTCCACCTCCTTCTCGCCGAGAGGGGCCAGTCTCGCCGCTTTGATCCGCGTCCCGCGAATCATTCCGCGATCTTCGTGTGATCGGCGCGGTATGCTCGCGTTGTTCGTCCGGCAGGTTTCTCCTCCTTTCCTTTCGATTTTTTTTTTTTCGTTTTCTTCTATCGGTTTTCTTCTTGCTCTGTCGCTTTCCCTTCCCCCCTCCTGGGGGGGATTCGCATGCCGAGGAACATGAGCGAAATAACGCGAGCGGTTGCTAGGTGTCACGGATGGTGAGCCGCGATAACCGGACGGCCCGGCCTTTTCGCGAATATTTCTTTCCGTGTGTTTCTTCCGCCAGGTCGCGAGAAGAACTCTCCGTTCCTCGTCGACGTCTTTCTCATCGTGAGTATCAACGAACCCTCTTTACTTCTCTTTCTTTACTTTTCTCCCCTGTTTTCTTCCTAACTGACTTTTTCCGCATAGCCGCTGGAGAAAGAAGTGTATATCTACACTGTTAAATATCAAAGGAGTCAATGGTAACTTAATCCTTTGAATTAAATAACGTTTCGTTACTTTCAGCTTCCATGTGTCAAAATGTCAATCAATCCATTTCTGTGGTTGATTTCAAAATAAACGCCCGTATTAATGTTGCACTCAGTAATAAACTAAGTTCCAGTCAGATTCAATACATTTCCATGAGGTAAATTTCATTTAACTGTATTGTTTCGGTTATTCCGATTAACGAATTCCGATTCATGAATTGAATAGTAGGGGCGACTTATAGAAGTTATTGAAAATGAGAGAGAGAACTCAAACTGTGGGCGTAATTCGACATTGTGAATTTAACGGTGTGTTGCGAGACGATTCGTGCGATATATGGATATGACTCGCGTGATTTCCACGTTTCCTTTTTCTCCCCTTTTCGCGTGAAAGAACTCCGAGGAACGAAGAAGGGTTAGGTTACCCGGTCGTAGAAGCGTTCGATAAAAATATTCGTGGATATCGATACGCGCGCGCAAAGGCCTCCCCCGTCCTCTTCGTCACCTCGCGAGTGCGTCCGAAACGAATTATTTATAAAAAAAAAAGGCGGAAAGGAGGAAGACGGATGCCCGCTGTCAAAACGGTGACGTGAGTTTCTGGGGAATAGGTATACAAAAAAAACAGAGATAAGAAAAAGAATCGATTAAATTTTGCTGCACAATTAAACAATTACGAATTTATCGATGAGAATAAATCTAATTGAATAAGAGAAATCCTATTCAGTCAAAATAGATCTTACTCGAACGGAACTACAAATCATTATGACAAAAAATGATGTCAAAATGATTCCAAAATGATCATTAAAAGTCATTTTTCAATCATTTCCGATTTATTTTAATGTCATTTTGACGTTATCGTGTACTTGTTGTTCTGCTTGGGTAATGCTTCAATATTTCTGTGTGAATTTATACACTGTAAAAAATACAATGTTAATTTTAATTTATAATTGTATAGTGGACATGCAAAGATGTTAAAATTAATACAAAAATGTGTTGTGTATACGACTAGAAATTGAAATTAACATTTTATTTTTTACAGTGTATACATTTCTGCAAACCGCGCGTCGAAATCTTTTTCCGGACTTGAAATGTGTTCATGAGAAAAACTGGAGTACCTAGTAATATTACTTATTGAATTAACAAGCAATTTAATGCGCTAATAAGCATCTTTTGAAACCAGTATTCATAGTCAATTCTTATATTTAAGCTTTTGTACTTAAGAGAGACAGTATAATCTCAGATACAAGATATTAATTAAGACAATTTTATAATAAGAATGAATTGTGAATACCAACCTGAGAGTATTAATAATGATATTTAAGTGAATAATAAATTTGCGAAAAATATTGTCTCACAGATTCGAACTTCAATTTCCTGGATTTATATAATTAATTATCATAATCAGATGCGTAAGAGAGAAGAGAAGGAGGAAATTGTAAAGATTCAGACGGCCACGTTAATACAACGCCACGTGTCGTACAAAATAAAATTTATATGGACGTTGTATTCTATGAGAAAATAATGATAGTAATTACCATAATTTAAATATATTTACATTTATATTTACATATTTTTATCATTTATAATTTAAATGATTATAATAATTTATAATCATTTTTTGGGACAACTGTATATTTTATTATTGTTAACCATGCATAGTCAATTATGTTATTAATAATAGTCACACAGAGCACTTGAAAATCTTCAGTTTTGTCTTAACATTTTTTGTAGATATTACCATATAAATAATAAGTGAATTAAAATTGTGAAAAAAAAATTATATTCACTGATTACGATTGCATTTATACTGAATAAAAATGTTTATTTTATTCACCACTTACATAATATTTTATTAACAATATTAAAATTTGAAATTTATTATTATTATTTATAATACAATTTTTTTAACGAACTATACATATATGGTTATTATCACGAACATTATAACAGTAATTACCATAAAAATGGAGTTTCTAATTATTTTATCATACAATTATAGTCACAAATATCAAACACTTTTCTCTCAGTATACAGTGACGCATAAGTACTTATTATTAGCCGTTTTGGAAAGTGATACTTTCGCATTTCTATATACACTTAATATCGGTCATTTCTGTACACTTAGAGTGGTATTCATAGTTCGTGTTTATTTTAAGAGCATCTTAAGTTCACTGTTAAATATCAAAGTTAAATATCAATGGTAATTGAATCCCTTGATTTAAATAACATTTCATTACTTTTAACTTCCATGTATGTCAAAATTAATCTATTTCTGTGGTTGAATTGCTTACTTGGTTTCAAAATAAATAAATAACGTTTATATTAACGTATGCGCTTAATAAACAATAAACTAAATTTGAGTTTAACTTAATACATTTCTTGATTCAAATTATTTGACTTAATTGTTTTATTATTTAGTAAGATCTGTTAAATTCAGTTAAATTAATATTGATTAGAAGTAAGTTGCAACCTATAAAAATAATTAAAAATTCGGTATTATGCTTTAACATGGTTCTGTGGTTGATATTTATGACATTTTAAAATTATATCTGTGACATTTTAAAATTGATGACATGGTTTTTTTACTTATGATGGCATTTTTAAATTGTATTTAAAATGGCCTTAAATATAAGAACCGACTATGAATACCGACCTCAGTATAGATTCTTCTTTTTAAAGCCGATATTCATAGACTGGTATTCATAGCTGCTTCTTATTTTTAAGACCGTCTTAAATACAGTCTTAAAATGTCATAATAAGCCAAGAAGCTCAGAATCGTATTAGCATCTCAAGACATTACTTAAGACAGTCTTAAAATAAGAACTGATTTTTGAAAAGAGTCTGTATTAAT